GGGGGGGGGAACCGGAGGCCAAGGGGGGGAGCGGAGGCTTCAGCAAAAAAGGGGGCGAAGGCGGGGGAGGAGGAAGCCGCGCAGACATTATTGCACGCCGTGCCCCACTTTGAAGAAGAGCGAGCGAGCGAGACCCTCCTTTGCAGTAGGAGGAGGCACCGCAACAGCCGCCGCCGCCGCTGGGGGGAGGAAAACAGGAGCACCTCCCCCCCCCCGCCACTGCTGCCGCCGCCGCTTCTTCCTCCTTCTCCAGGGTGTGTGGCGTGGGGGCGGTTGCAAAAGAGGAGACACACACAACACCCCCCCCCGAAATCCTTTCCTTCCCCAGCCCTTTTCCTGCCCGCCCGCCCTCCTTGCCTGCAGGAGAGCAGGGAGCAGGCGGGCAGGGAAAGGGGAGCCGGGGCTGGGAGGAGGGGAGAGGAAAAAAGGGGGCAGCGAGAGGAAAAACAGCCGCGGCGGAGAGAAAAGGAGGAAGACGGCGGGGGCCGCCGCCGCGGAGGAGGAGGCGGCGGAGAGGAGGAGGAGGACTCGGCGGCGGCTCGCTTCCTGGCCGTGTTTGCAAACTGCGCCCTTTTAATTTTTTTTTTTTTTACATTTTTTGATATATTTTTTTTGTACCGGGCCGGATCCGCCCGGACTCTGCTCCATCACGTGGTAAGTGCCGCCGCCTGGCTGCTCCTCGCTTCGCTCCTGCCTGCCTGGCTGGGTCGCTTGTGGTTGCTGGCTCCGCTCTCGCCGTTGCCCTTGCTCGGCCCTGCTTTCCCCCCCTGCCTTTGTTAGCGCGGCTGCCTGGCGGCACCCCCGTCGTAGCCCGCGGCGGCCAGAAAACAACTTCTTTCGCGCGCCCCCCCCCTTCTGCCCTGGCCGCCTTGTCCTGCCGTCTCGCGGGGGGGGGGGCGGAGCGCACCCCTTCTTCCCCAATAGTCCCGATTCTCGCTCTCTCGCTCGCTCGCTCCCACCCCTCCTCATTTTACAGCAGCACACGAAGAATGAGTCCAACTTCCCTGCCCGGGTGCTTTCTCCTCTCCTCCGCCACGCTCTCGGTGCCAGTCGCGGGCAGGCTTTCAGCCCTCCATGATGAAGACTCCCCCCCCCCCCCCCCGTTACTTTTTCGTGGTGGCGTGTGCGGGGCTTGCAAGAGTCCGAGGCGTTCGCAGGGCGTCCTTGCAACCCCCAAATGCAACGATCTTTGAACACAAAACCTTGGGGAGGGGGAGGGAGAGAAGGGGAGCCGTGTAGGTCGATTGAAGACTTCTTTCCCAGCACGCAGAAAGATCTTTCGGTCTTTAGAGCGGGTCGTAGTTCGGAGGGGGGGGGATGAG